AGAAATATTGATTTTTCAAATTTCGTATCATTCGCGTACGAGCTCCGTTTTCGACGTTCTTTATACCCATGCGACTGTCTCGATGAGTACTAGAACTGTCCTTTAGGTTGGTTTGGCTAATTCCAACTTTATTTTTAGCCCATTATCTTGTAGGGAGGGGGTATCCTAAATGATTTTATAAAAATCATAACTCCCTCATGCAACTTAGTTTTTGGCATTCTTTGTCTCATAATTCTTATCTCGATGAGTACTACGATTCTCCTTTTCATGGCTTTAGCTAAAACTCAATCGATTTCTCTGTACTTATTTACGACACAAGTTTTTGCGCATGGTTGATTTTTGTGTTTTAGAAAAATTATAACTTCTACATACGAAGTCCGACTTTTACAAAATTTATATTTTCGGAATTGCGTCGACGTGTATGTTCCGAATACATTATAATTTATACTCCCTCCATCCCATATTTATTGTCCACTTTTGAGTTTTGAAGTATTTATTCTTCAAATTTGAGCTTTAATATTTTTGATTTTGCTATATAATACTTGATGCAAAAAATATGGGTGAATTGTGTTTTAAATGTCTTTTCATTGTTATAAGTTTCATCAAATAATTTATAAAAAAAATAAAATATATTTAAGGTCAAAGTTGAAGAATAAAGACTTCAAAAGTCAAAAGTAGACAATAAAATTGGAATGAAGGTAGTATATGTTAGTACTACTTTTTGCGCACTTAATTTTTGGCTTTTCGGCCCATCTAGCCATATTTTATGAATATGGAAAGATGAAATAGTGTGTTTTTCATTAATATTTGAATAACATTACATCCTTAGTCTATTACATTTATCTATTTTTGTCATTCCTATTGATAGTTGGTGATGTACTTTGTTCGGTTGTCACGAAGCATCATCATCCAAACAGGGAGAAAGATTCGCCCTCGACATATCATCTCCTTACATCCTCACAAGTGCCTATCATCCACGACAAAACTTTGTAGGAGAAAATGTTCTACATGATGGAAATTATGGTGATTGGGAAAGCAAGATGAAAAACATGCTTTTTGCCAAAAACAAAATAGGGTTCGTCGATGAAAACCTACCGATGCCATAAGAAGATTCGACGGACCAAGTTAACTGGAAAAGATGCAATGCGATGGTATGGGGATGGCTGATGAGTTCCATGGAAAAGGAGACAAATAACAAGGTAAAATATGCCATCACCACTTGTGACATTAAGATAGATCTAAAAATGAGGTTCGACCAGGAAAATGTTCCACGAGCATACCAGATGCGACGAGCGATCACCCAGATACAAACAAAAAACATGATTGTTTTTTTCCTACTACACAAAGATAAGCGTGTGGGATGAGATTAACTCCATAAGCCAAATTCCTACATGCTCTTATAACAGGTGTAGATGCGAGGCAACAAAGAAATCGCTAAACTTCGTGACAAGGAGCGTCTATACGAATTTCTTATGGGTCTGGACGAAGAATTAAATGCAGTAAAGACTCAAACTCTTAATAGTAGCCCCTTAATTACCTTGAACGTCGTATACCATATTCCCATCCAAGATAAGCACCAATGACAAATTGGAGTTGAACATAATACAAACTTTGAGTTTTTACCGTTTCAAGCGACGGGAAGGTTCATTCATTGGGGAGATTGTGTTTTAACGACAACAACACTAACTACTTAGATAGACGGAGCTTTGATTTGCACGAAAGATTGGATATGGACTACATCGATAGAAATTGAGCTTCAAGATATGCCTACCAATGTATTAGAGGAGTTGCAAGAAAAAATGGAGAAAATAGAACTTGGTAATCTTAATTTTTCATTATTCTTTATTTTTATGAGCATGTTATCAACACTAATTGTATGTTTTCTTTCTTTTAGGGTAATTTACAAACGGACAAAAGTTGTTTGAGCCATACATGGATGAAGATTGATGTTTTGTTAAAGCAATCTACTTAAGACTATTATGAATGCATTTTTGAAATTACCATGATGTACCTTTTTGAAATATGTTCGCTACTTTGCTTTGTTTGTTTTCCATGACTACAATAGTTTTTAATATGTTATCTTGTATGGTGAATTTTTTGTTGATGCTTTTTAGTAATATTTTCAATTATATTTTTTAAAAATCTTATTAGAAAAACTACTAAAATAACAAAAAAATAGAAAAAACCGAAAACCGATCTTATTGAACCCAAAAACTGAAACCGAAAAAGAAAACCAAAACCATTGGTTTTAAAAAAATTTATAACGGAAATCTTTGGTTTGGTTTTGGTTTTTATCAAAAGTCGCACCAAACTGAACCGTGCGTACCCCTAATCTAAAGTTTTTTAATACAAAATCAAATGCGTATCAAGATACGTTGCGTTAAAAACAAAAGCATGAATATTGCAACCACCTAATAACTATATTTCCAACCAAACAAAGGGTGACCATTAAGTAAAGTAAAAAACCGTTCACGACATTTCAACTTGAGAGTTTTAATGACCTTTACTAGATATTAGGTAAAATAATATAGAAAAAACAAAACAATATAACTAATCCAACTACACAAATCGGAGTTTCAATATTCAAACTTTAGGCTTACTTTTGAGAAGTATATTTCAAAATCGTTCTTTGACCTTAAAAGACCAGATATATCCATTAGTTATTGCTTAGTGCTTACATATGGAATCAAGTCAAGAAGAAGCGATGAGTTTGTATTAAACGAGCTCGTTAAACATTTTTGCATGTTGTTGCGTAAATTTTTATCATATAAATTTTTTAGAGAGAAGTGGTGTCAATTTGTAAAGATGAAAAATGTTAAAAAAAAAAAAACATGTAGAAAACAAAGATGTAAAATTTTTAAAAAGCAACGTTAAAAAAATGTAAAAAGAGTCATCAAATTTAAATAAAAAATAATTTTAAGGAAATTAAAAAACAAAGTTATAGAAAAGTTGGAAACAAAGTGTAACGACAACATACGTCATCAATAAACTACCAACCAAGTTTATTGAGAACAAAACTCCACACGAGATGTTACTTAGAAAAATTCCTTCTTATAGGAGGTAGGGTGATTGATCCATTTAAAAGTATACTCACTACTTAGACACTTGAAGCCAAAATGTTAAATAAACCACACTACCTTTTCGTATTAGTTTTCCAAGACTTTTGAAAATTTTGAGTTAGTACACGTGGGTCGAAACCAACATGCTACTATAAATGGTGAGCATTAATTTTTATCTATTATAAATGAATATAACCGAGGATTTTGGGTTTATTTAATGGAAACTAAGTCTGAACTTGGTTATTTTTCTAACATCCTTTTGCAACATGGAAAGAACACAATTTGACAAAAGAATAAAAAGAATACAAACAGATAATGGTTCAGAATTCAAATCAAGATATATGCTTGATATTTATAAGGAACAATGAATCTTTTTTGAAACGACACGTCCTTACAAACCGCAACAAAACGATGTGGTTGAAAGAAAACACAATCACCTTTTGGAAATGAGTCAGAAATTATGATTTCATGCATCCTTACCTATAGAATTTTGGGGGGATTGTGTTTTAACGACAACATATATCATCAAGAAACTACCAATCAAGTTTATTGAGAACAAAACTCCATACAAGATGTTACTCGAAAAAATTCCTTCTTACAATCATCTCAAAATGTTTAGATGTTTAGTTTATGTCCACAATAGCATCGGAAAGCAAGATAAGAAAGAGGTAAACCATCTGTTTTTCTAGGCTATCTAATGGGTCAAAAGGGATACCAGTTTTTCGATGTAAATGAAGAAAAAATATATACCAGTCGATGCTACTTTTGTTGAAGACATGTTTCCTTTTTGGAAACAATTACAAAAGTAATAAATGTAACGACCCAGATTTTCTATACAAATATCTTAAGGAATTATCAGAGTTTTTCTTACAAATGCATAATTCTATAAAAATTAAATCAATATAAATCCCATGTTTATAATAAAATCTATCTATTAAATAAACAACAAGGATTATACAGAGAAATAAACTACTCCTAATCTAGGTCCTTGTGCTCTAGTCTTCTCTTGTACTACGACTATTATTAGAACCTTCAAAAACATCGAAAACATCTACTACATTATACCACAGGTATGGTGAGTTATATTTTTATCTGTTCTCATGTTTCATCAACTCTTTCTTTCTTTTTCTCTTCTTTCTCTTACTCTGCAATCTAATCTCTTTCTTTCATAGCATACACTGATAATCTTTCTCATCTCATCGCATCTATCTCTTCTACTATTTTCTCTTTACTTCTTCTCATATCTCATCTTTTCTCATCTCCAATCTTCTTTTTTCTCATCCCATCTATCTCTTTTCTTCTATCTCTTCTCATGACTTAACATTTTATTCTTCTATTTTCATACTCTATCTTCTTCTAATATTTTTTTTCTCATTTCTTAATATCTCGTAGCCTCTTCTCAGGCTCATATCTTACCTTCTCTTAGCCCTTCCCAGGCTCATCTCACACTCTACACATAATCTATCTATCATTCTTGCTTCCATATACTCTATCTTTCCTAATCTTTATATGCTCTTCTCTATACTCTATGCATCCTCTTATTTATATTTTACTTTGCTCTTGACACATCTCTTAATCTTAGCATGCTTGTATCATACTTATCTTACTCCTCATCTCTCTTTACTCTCAACTCTATTGCTTCAACATTATGTTCTCATCTAGACCCAATGCTCACATCTCATACTCTAATCTCATCTATCTTCTGAGGCAAACAACATCCTGCTGCATTGCCTCTTACACTCATCCATACTTACTCTCCTCTCTAATTATCCCTCATGGATCCTTAGTCATTCTTCTTATATCTAATCCCTTATGAATTCCTTACACTAAATCCTTCACGAATCTTATATAAGTTCTTAAAAGAACTCTCTAGCCTTGTTCCACTCTTGGAACCTTTTCTCTATCTTCTCTAATCATACATAATCTTGATTCCTATAGGAATCATCTATCCACTTCCTGATAGGAATAAATCCTTAATGATCGAATAGATTAAAACAGGTAAACAAGAACACAATATGATCAAACTGGTGCTGAATGATTAACAGTCACGCCTCAGAAGAACTCGATGAAGAATTGCTTCTGTAGAGGCGTAAACTAGGGTTACAAAGATAATTATGAGAGTTAACTAAAATACGTAGCATGCATGCACCTTTTATACTATAACCATAGCAGCAAATACGAGTGGACATGCCCAACTCGTTTATACAAAATGGACTAGACAAAACAGGCCCAATGACGCAACATTAAATCTTCAATAATCTCCCCCTTTGCGTCAATTGAGACCATAGCCATTTAGTTCTTGATTCGCTTCTGCACTTCATAGACTTTGGGAATGAAGCTCAACAACATCTTGTGAACTTGAATATACCATGTGATCACATCCGTGAAACACTTCACGTCATCCTTGTTGTTGCCCTTAAACTTCACAACTAGCTCCAAAATAAACTCCAGACAAGAAGTAGTAAATAAGTGTTTGTCTTCGAGATGAAAGTATAACTTGCGTCGATCTGCTCCTGGACAATCTCTAGACGTGTATACCACAAACCATCCTTCCTTGTAAAATTTTCCTGGCTTGAGCTTCTCGAAGTCTTTCGGAGCTTTCTTTGGAACAACACTTTGTTTTTGGCTCAAAACAGTGGCAATATCCACATCCATCATTCCAACTTCTTGAATATAAGACTTGATCATAAGTTGAAGATGGGACATCACAGGTTCGTACTTCTCCTTCTCTCTCAACAGAATATTAAATATCACCATCCAGTCATGGGGGTTCAAGCAAGGCAGGTCTGCGAGAGTGAATTCATAGGCTTGACATGCTAATCCTCTCACAACTTTAAACTTCGCATTAGGGAAGCTTTCGGTATCGATCGGCCCAGTGACCTTCACAGCAACAATCTTGATCGCACTCCAAGTCTCGAACTGGGGCTTCATGTGCTTCAAGTAGAAGGCAAACAACATTTGATCCGCAGTGTTGTCTGTGAAAGCTGCATTAGCAACCTTTACAAAGGCACGAAACCTGAACGCCTTTGGTGTTATAAGTAGGTCCAATTGCGAATCCTGTGTGTTTTGGATTTCAAAGGAAGCAATTGGATCCAACCAATACTGGCTTGGCATATTCACGGCTTGGTTTTGAATGCGCTTCAGGGTCCACTTAGGAAATAATAACATTTTGCTTTTAAGAGTGGCTTAAGCTTCCTTTTCAGCTCTTTCTTTCTCCTCCGCCTCTTTGACAATGCGAGCATGTTCGTCTATCTCTGCCTCGCGAGCCTTCCGCCTTTTGAGCTCAGCTTCATCAGGCTCTTCGTCTTCGCTATCATCAATAATAGGTTCTTCACTGAATAGCTTTTCTTTTCTCTTTGGTTCTGGCTGGATGACATGAGGTTTAATTGGAGCTTTGGGGTTTTCAATTGTTTGAACTTTGGAGCTACCTTCTCCTCCTTTTTTCGGAAAAGACACCGACATCAAAACACCCTCCAAACGGTGTAACATAGCAAACACCGGTCTTAGCTTTTCAAACAAAAGCTTCTTGACTGTTATGGAGATCATGGGATCACGAGTCTCAATGATATCAGAGAGTAGTCCAGTAACATCGGAGATACAACTTCGCGTGACTGCCTTCTCTGCTAGCAAATCATCGACCTGCTTTTCAGTGTAGTGAAGCTTGGTTTCCAACACTTTACACTTTTCCTCCTTGACGGCGAGAGCATCCATGAGCTTGTTTTCTTTCGCCAGATCCTCCTGAAGCTTTGTGATATTCGCAGCGATAGAAGACTGGAATGCTTCATGTTCAGACTGAAGCACCTTGTGAAGTTCAACAAATTTTGCCTTTTCCGTTTGGAACAAGGCACCAACGTTCTGAATAGCCTTGTTTGTAGTCACTGTGTTGGCGTTGTAGGTGTCCTTGTAATCCTCCATGAATTGTATTGTGTCAGCAATTAGTTTATCGACTTTTTCGGTCGTTGTCTTGCAGACATCAGTAGAGTCAGAAACAACCTTGGACAAAGTAGAGACATTAGTACTATGTTCCTTCGTAACACGCTCAAGGATTGACTCAACATCAACTTTGGAGTAAGCCTCATAAGTGGAGACTGTGGATGTGAGAAGCAGCTGATCAATTTTCTCATGAAGGGATTTGATTTCCCCTTTCGCAGTAGAGACTTCATCTTCACTGTCAATCCTTATTTGAAAAGGACTGTAAGCAAATCCGTCCAAATCATCATCTTCATTATCTCCGAAAATCAATTTCGGGTCATCTGTGCGAATGGGAGAGATGGGTGGTGTAACATGGCTTGAAAAACCTGAAGTGTTAGCCCCCGTATCAGATACGTTGACTAAACTTGCAGGTGCAATAGAGTGTGTGGGGCGAATGGTGGATTCTGTGAAAATAGGGATTGAGACTGGAATAGGTGTGGGTGGTTGAGATGATACTGGTGGTGGCAGAGGTGCGATGGTGATTGGGATAGAAGTAGTTGTTTTTGGTGAGGGAGGTGGAGAAGGAACAAAATCATTAAGTGGTGGAGTTACCTCACGAGTCGGAGATGAGGCCTCAGTGCGAACAGGTGGTTCGTTGTGAATCTGTTCTCCTTCCTCATTGCGAACAGGTGGTTGTTATTCAGTGCGAATGGGCTCATCTTCTGCATTACGAACAGGGGGATCCTCCTCAATGCGAATCTCCGACTCAGTATCGGAATCAGAATTTTCTCCTTCACTCTGGAGTAGGAGTGGGAGACTTTCGCCTTCTAGCGGGTTGCTTCCTTCGCTTTGGTGTAGTAGTAGAATCGGCAGGAGCCTTTCGCTTTTTAGAGGGAGGTTCGCAGCCTCAGAAGGTCCTTCTTTCGCAGTGTCTTTCTTGGTAGCTTTCTTTGACCCTCTGCCCCCTTTCTTGGCTTTATCGGCCTCAGCCAAAATTGCTTGGAATTCATCAATTAATGGACGAGGTCCTGAAGGAGTAAGAGAACGATAACCCTCTAGAATTTTACTGGAGGGAGGAACATCACGAAACATAACCTTCGGAATCGAGCCGACGAAAGAAAACTTTGACCTATCAGCCATAATGATACCAGTTGTATGAATTGTTGCAATAGAAGCTAACAGTGCATCAGTCATCACTGGAAATTTGAGCTACATAAGTGCTCTGTTAACGACGATGGTCCAGAATCTCGCACAAGAGATATCACTGTGACGAGTAACAGAGTGAGTGCTCTGGATAAGTTGAGCCCATAGGATAGAACCATAGTCAACATTTTGACCAGTATATAGACCATACATCAGACCCATGAAGAGCTTACTCGCACAATCATTTCTAGTGACCCTTTCAGAAAAAGATTTGAACAAGATAGTGAATAGGGCATTGCATGTAGGTGGAAGATTGGATTTCTTGAACTTGGAAACAACAGTGAGAGTTTCCTTGTACCCCATTTGATAAAACATTTCTAAGATAGCAACATTGGAGATGGTTTCCGGATTGACCATGTTTTCAGACTGAGGAAGCCCTAACAGATTGCAGAAACGAGTTTTGGAAATCGAGGTTGTATGATTATGGATGTCGAAGTATATGCGTTGTTCTTCCTTGACATAGTTGGCTGTTGTGTATGCTTTGGATAGAATCGATAGTGGAACATTCTCAACTTGAGACAAAGCAATGGTGAGAGGGGAGTATTTCAGGCACTCAATACGAGGTAGTAGAAAGGGATCATATTTAACTGGATCCAGATCGATGATGAGGTTTTGATGTTGCTTAACGGCCAGAAGAGATGAATGAGCAGTTTGGTCTTGAACAGAAAGATTCTCAGATGAAGCCGCCATTGATGAAGCTTGAAGAAGAAGATGAACAGTGGAGAGCTTTGTAATCGCCAGAAATCGTTGAGAGATTTTGAAAGTGGTAAAGAAATATGGAACCGTCAAAACCCTTATATACGATTTGATTTGGTTAGGAAAAACCGGAGAGAGAGTATCTCGAATACTGAACCGTCGCCTGAAAAAGCGCGATTTGAAAGCTGTGATAAGTCAGAAGTGTGCGTCACGCAGCGTATTAATATCTGTCCGTTCAACTTTGCACGCGCCCGTTTGAATCCTTATCTTTTAAAACTTGCCGTGTCAGCTCATCTTCTTTCGCAGTAAAGAAAGCACGATGAATTCATACAACTGCGAACCGGAAAATTATTTGTAACCACGAACAAGACCTTTGGAAAATCACTAGGATCTTCGTTCAAGAGTGTCAAAGAAAATGAAATAAAACGAAGTTTATCTGTGGGATGTTGTGATGTCTAACTAGAGACATAAATCTATTGATCCCAGGTAAAGATCTCTTTCTTCATAGTCAAGAGAGACTAAGAAGTGTCTGTGTGGTTTCCTGTTGAATATGATCAAATGTTTGATGAGAAACACTGAAAGGCATCTTTTAATAAGGCTTATAAAGGTGGTTCATCCTTCAACCAAACTACGAACTTGACATAAGTGCGAAAGTTGGAAAAAGGTACTCGTGTGACCAGTGTAGTCAGTTGAACGAGTAGGTTTGGAATTTATTTTAAGTGACTTGGAAAAATATTGAAATCTCAAAAAAAAATTAAACTGGATCCATTTGGAAGAAATGTCTTGGGACGAGAACACTTCATTAGGATCTCTAAAAAGAAAAGAGATTTCTTGGTACTGACCACGAATGTGGACTTTCGTTAATTCTTGGATGAAAATACTAGAACGTTTGATTGTTCACCGTCAACTCATATAAGGTATTGAATTTTTGGTTTCACTCAGTTCGTGGTGGAACGAAACTAAGATCATTAACACATATGTTTGTGTAACCATAAACCTCAGTGGTAATTTCTGAGAGTCTCAAGGGTTACATGTATGGATGCGAAAGTGATGGAGAAGAGAGTAGATGGTTACAAGAGAGCGAAAGTACCTCTGCAATCCGAAAGTGACCATGCAGATAACTCTTAACTCAATGTGAGAAGAGTAAGGTAGCTCATGACTAATGTGAATTCGTAGCCTGATTTGGAAGAATTGATTGGTGGTATCAACTCATTAAGGCTTCACAGTTGAGTCGTTGAGGATTAGGTCAACATGCAGCAGCATGCTTCTAGGGACACTTAACTAATGCATAAGTAACGAGATTTATACCTGCCCCATCACACGAGTTGATAAATGTTGCGAACATCTTCTTCTATGATCTTGGTGTGAAGCTATAGTTTGTGGAATAAAAATAGACACAAATAAAAAATATTTTTGTGATTTTGATTTTTCTGAAAAACAATAAAATAAAACAAATAAATTATTTTTGGTTTTGGAGATTTTCTGAAAATGAAATAAAAAAAAAAAATAAATTAATTAAAAAAATATATACAAATTGAAAATAAAGATAAGCACTGATATACAAAATGTACAAAAGGATATATGAAATACCAAACCATGAATGAACAGTGCCCTGCGAACTACTACGAAGGTTCGCATTGATTCGCATCGATAAAATAGATTGTGAATGAACAGTTGACTGCGAAAGCCTGTGAACGTTCGCACCGATTCGCAGTGAAGATTTTATGAGTGTGATAGTGGTTTTGGTACTGAATCAGCTTCCATCATTCCTAGCCCTTGAAGGATTCTATTAAATGATGTTTCAGGTAGGGCCTTGGTAAATATGTCAGCCAATTGATCAGCGGATCTTACGAAATGAATCTCGACATTGCCATCTTCCACATGATCCTTGATAAAGTGATACCTCAGTGCTATGTGTTTTGTTTTTAAGTGTGGCACTGGGTTGTGACAAATGCGAATGGCACTTTCGGAGTCACAATAGAGAGGAATTATTTTCATACTTAAGCCATAATCACGAAGTTGGCTTTGAATCCAAATGACTTGACATGTGCATGAAGCTGCAGCTATATATTCAGCCTCAGCTGTTGACAACGAAACGCATGTTTGTTACTTTGATTGCCAACTCACCAGCTTGCCATCAAGAAATTGGCATCCACCAGTGGTGTTTTTTCTATCTAAACCGCAACCGCCTAAGTCAGCATCTGAAAATGCTTGTACGAAAAAACCTGAGTTTGCAGGATACCATATTCCAAGAGATGATGTTCGTTTTAGATACCGGAAAATATTCTTGATAGCCACCATGTCAGGTTCGTGTGGGTTGTCTTGGACCCTAGCACAGTAACAAACTGAAAACATAATATCTGGTCTACTAGCTGTTAGATACATGAGTGAACCTATCATCTGACGATAAAGGGTCATATCGGCAGCTGGTTTATCCAGCGAAGGAGTCAATTTTCATTCCGAATGCCATTGGAACCTTCGTCTTTAAGTCTCCCATCATTCCAAAATTAGCGAGTAGGGTCTTCGTGTAAGCCTCCTGATTGATGAAAATTCCTTCCAGTCCCTGTCTAATGTTTAAGCCAAGAAAAAAGTTAATTGGACCCATTGAGCTCATCTCAAATTTAGTTTCCATCAGCTTTCGGAACTCAACTGTTAGGCTGGGATTAGTAGATCCGAAGATGATGTCATCAACATAAATTTGTACGATCATCAAGTGGTCACCCTCTTTCTTGCGAAAGAAGGTTGGGTCAACCAAACCTTGCTTGAATTTGTACATTTTAAGAAAACGAGTTAGTGTTTCATACCAGGCTCTTGGAGCTTGCTTTAGACCGTAAACTGCTTTTTTCAAGAATATAACAGTGGTTGGGATATTTTCATTTACAAATCCAGGTGGTTGTTCCACATAAACGGTCTCTTCCAGTTCGCCATTTAAGAATGCACACTTCGCATCCATTTGAAAAACTTCAAAATTTTTGTGTGCTGCATATGCCAAGAAGATGCAAACGGATTCCAACCTTGCAATGGGTGTGAAGGTCTCTTCGTAGTCAATCCCTTCTTCCTGGAAATAACCTTTGACCACAAGCCTAGCTTTGTTCCTGATCACA